AGTGCAAATACTTTTTGCATAACCGATGCAAAAAACCTTTTATCAGTCCATATATCCTAAGGTCATTTGCATTGGTTACTTTGAAAGAACTGATGCAAAAGGCCTTCTCACTAAAATTGGGAAGGTCTTTTACATCAGTTACTCTAGAATCCACAATGCAAAATAATTTTTCAAGAAATTAGTGCCAAATTTGGGAAAGGCTTTTGCATCCATTATTCTAGAATAACTGTGAGCGTATATCATGTATATATTACTTATGTATATTATTCTGTAATATTTTATGCCTACATGTTGGGCTTGTAACATGAATTTATATCCTCCGGTATCAATGAAATAACCAAGTCATTTAGTTCACTAAATTCTACATGGTATCGGAGCAAAACCCTAGGACATCACGTAAACCCTAGGTCCGCTGCCAGTCTCGTCTCTCGTTCGGCGATCATCTACGCCGGTTGTCCTCGCCGGTCCGCTATATGTCCCTCACCGGTGAGCTGTTCCAGTCCGTTGTCTTCCTCGGCGTTACTCTCCCTCGTCCACGTTGTCTCTCATCATGTCAGCCGAGGCAACTCCCACGCCCAAGAGAACACGGTTGATCCATGATCCATCATCTATATATTATCTCCATCCCTCCAAAGGCCCCGGTAACTCTCTTACCAAATATTTGTTGAAAAGCGATAACTTCGACATATGGGAGAAAGCTATACGTAATGCTCTTGGTGGTCGTGGCACGGGGTCGAACAAAATTTTTGTCGATTTCAATTTTTTTTCAATGTAATATATTTTCCGGAATCAAATAAAATATATTTCTAACACGATTTTTAATCAATGAACAACGACAAAGTAGAATAAATAATATTTGAGGAACTGGAAGTGTACTCAAATTTTTTTTTTAATTCCAAATTTTTTAAAAGACTTTAGGGTACACAACATTTTTGGTATGGTTGTAAGGATTTCCATTATCATCTAGAACCAATATTTTTGATTATGTCTTTGTCTTCACTCGTGAAAAAGTAACATAAAACTAACCATGAGTAAATACTGAATTGGTTAAAAATAATACAACAAAAGACAATGTTTGACCTAGACTTTTGTTAATAGTGATAACAAAATATAATAATATTAAGAATTGTCTTCTCTAAAATTTCAAGGGCAGTCCTGAGTCAAATGACACCAAATTCATTCAGGGTATACAAATCTTTTTCCTAACTGATTTCCCAAAACATCAATTGCAGTGATAATGTTTTTTCTCAACTTCTCAACGATTAATCTTCTACCATTACACAATCCAGATATTTGGTCAATGTTCTTTAATGACATAATCTGTACCCCATTTTTAAAAATTATTTTGTGGTTTAGGATCCCGGAACATTTGATTTTATTAAAAAAACTGAAGTGTTATCCAAGTGTTAACTTTGTATGAAGAATCAAAAATTAAGTTTTCTTTTTCACCTCCTAGAATAAAGGATAAGACAAATTCATTTACCATTCAACAAACTCGAGCGTGAGTGATAATACTCCACTCTCCTTAAAAAAATAATTTTTCATGTTCTCTAGTAGATTCGGATAAGTGAACTCTATTGTTCTCTCGAGTGGATAACTTATTTCAAGAATCAAGAAATCAGGCAGGAAAAAACTTATTCCATTGATCACTTGACTAAATTTTCCATCTTCGACTTTGATTATCCAATCAGAAAAAACTACTATGTCACTATCCGTGCAAGAGAGTGTAGATTAATGCAATCTCATATTTTTGGTCAACGTATAAATTTTACAATACAACCACATTTGTGAAGAATTAGTGGTAGCACCTACAATTTCCACTCTAAAAGCTATGAGTAAAACTGATAGATTTAAGAGTTTTGTTTCTATCTCGGCAGATTATAAGCTCTGCAAAAAAAAAATTATTTGTTTCTATGCAGTACTCAATTAAAGAGTTTTGTTTTCATATAATGCATCAGATGGATTGATAGGTTTAAAAACTTTCTTTATATTCAAGTAACTTGATTCCACAATATTCACATTCAGTCAAATAAATTTCATTCAACAGGAATTCTTATTGTTTTTTTAAAACAATTTGTCGGTGACTCATGATACTTGGACGAACAATATTTTTTGCATATTCTCAAATCCTAACTTAGCAACCTTTTTAATACCTTCAATAAGTTATTTATAATCGGTTAATAAGCTCAATGCTTCACATGCTTCTATTAATGCGTTATGTAGAACATTGTTAACTCTTACATTGTTAACTCTTCTCAAGCTCTTATAACTTATACATCCTCGCTAGACAGTTGATACTATTCTCAAGTTGTATAACTCTCTAATTTCTAAAAGTACATATTGTAGCCTGTCTATTGATGGTGGTTTCTAGAAGCACATATTGTAGCCTTAATGAAAAATGAGTGGAATGTATTAAATGAGGTGAGTGAGGTGTAATAAATAAAATAAGTGGTGTAGTTGTGGTATTTTAGTTGTTAAAAAATGAAATAAGAAAATCTATTGTGGATAAAGAAAAAGATCTATTGAGATGATTTATGAGGAACAGAAAAAGTACTATATATTACTCCCTCCGTCCCAATTTATAACACCTGCTTCGGTTTACGATGTTTAATTAAAATTATTTTCAAATCATTTTATATGACAAATGGTATAGAATTAAACAATAAAAATTACATATTAAAATACTACATCAAAAGATTTACAAAAATAGTAGTCACAATAATATTTTATTTTATCAAATAGCTAATGAAAATAGAGAAAAAAAGTAAATGAAATTTAACCATGAGAATAGTAAACAGGCATTATAAATTGAAACAGAGAGAGTACAAAATAAAAAAAATTGGCAAGGGGGACAACTCCAGTACTCATACATGTATCCTTGCTCGAAAAATGCTAGGGGTACACCAAAAGTGTACCCCATTTGTCCCCCACCCCCTCCATTATCACAAAAATGGGCAAGAATTTTTTAAAAAATTAAATAAATAAAAAGTAAATAAAAATGGATGATGAAGAAGGGAGTGTGGGACAAATGGGGTACACCAAATGGTGTACCCCTAGCATTGCTCATCCTTGCTCCTATGTCCATTTGTCAATACATTAGAAAATATTCTATTTTGATTAAATGATTTAACTTTACGATAATTTAGTTAAAATTTATAACACAAACATAGACAACACACATATAGAAAAAACTGCAGGGTTGTGAGAACGGTGGGATAGCACTAAGAACTCTCTCTGGCATATATACATTGTCTAAGTGTAATATTAGTACTCCCTACATCCCTAAATATTTGTCACATTTGTATTCCCAAAATAAAATATCAACTCTTTTCAATTCTTTACTTACACATTGGTATAGAAATAAAAAATAAAATTTACATATAAAACAACTACATAAAAATTCTTCGAAATAAGGTGTTAAGAATATTTTATTTTATCAAATAATCAATGAAAATATAGAAATAAACAAAAGTTCTCACGACTGCTGAAAAAGCAAACGTTGCAAATAATTAGGGACGGAGAGAGTATTTTTTTCTTAAGTAAAAAAAAGTTTAATTGCATAGAGTTCAAATAAATATTAAAAAATTAAAATAAATAACTAAACAAAGTAAATTCTGCTGGAAATCAATTATGTGAATCCATTAATTATGAATAATTGGGACAACTTCAATTCTCAAAAGATGAATCCACATAATTGATTTCCATTAGAGTACACCATTATCTATCAACTAACACCGCTCGGTGATCAAACGGATGTGCTGGCTCTTCATCAGGAAAGGGAGCATTACGGTGAAGTCCGGTGTGGGAAATCACAATTTGACTTTTATTCTGTCAAATTCTCGGGTTCTTTGATAAAAATTAAACATAATTTTAAATAAATAATATTAAAAATTTTATTCAAAAATTACATAAAAAGAATTCACGCAAATACTATAAGAAATGAATTGTCTTCATTTAAATTCAATTAATTTAATAAAATCTTATTATTTAATTTTATAAAATGTATGTTCAAAATGAAAAAAATAAAAGTTTAAAGTTTCATTTTGAAACCCAAAGCTGCTTTGAAGCACCAAAGTTTAAGTTTGACGATGATTTGAGGCAAACAAAACAAATAAAAAAATTTGGAAATGCTGATTTGAAGCACCAAAGTTTCATCATTTTCAACTCAAACTTGTATAAATTTATTACAAATATTTATTTGATTTAAACAGTAGGATCCATCCACTATCCCAACTATCATACTGTTGTTCCCATGAGCAGAAGAAAAAATCCACAATGTGCCGGCCAGACATATGAGGAATTGAAAACTAATGTTAATAAGAGTAAAGTTCTTAAGTGCTTGAAACAACGATGATTATTCGCCTATCATTTCTGTAGGAGTATTATCTATCCATTTTCCCAACGTATTTTCAATCACAAGTATTTTCATGATCTTGCTTCTTCTAAAACGAAACCAAGAAAATGCTTGTGCGTAATTGAACACAAAATTTAATAAAAACATTTTCTGATGGTAAAAAACTAAACAAATAAAATAAAAAGTACTGAAATATCTAAAAAATTTAAGAAAAAAAGAAAAGGAATATGATAAACACCAAAGAACGGCATCAGTTCTCCAAGATGATCTTTAACTTCAAAGAGAAACTCAGACGCAAATTTCCCATTAGAAATGTGTTTCATCATCTGCCCAAAAACATATGAATCGAAAGGAAAATCCAAACGGTTATAAAATTAACAAAAATCTTTTTAAAAGAGGGAAAATTTTGAGTGATCAGAACCTGTTGGGATTCATATTACACATCAATCAAAAGAGTCAGTGGATTGACAGACAAACGATTTCTAGCATCACTTCACTCAACCAGAGATAAAAAAATTCAATACCAAGTAGACAAAAGAACCAAAATTAAAAGATCGGGAAAAAACAAAATCTGCAAAAGAATGAAAGGGAACAAACTTAGAAAATATGAAGATTTAAAGGAGATAAGAGTCATCAGATAGGAGCGAAAGACTATAAACGTTTTTGTAATCACAGAGATTATCAGTTGAACTATGCACGAAATCATCACCTGACTCTTCTTCTCATCGGAGGAATCAATAAGCAAAACAAACAAAAAAAGAAATCAATTTTCAGATAATCTGAAAGAAAAATGACGAATTCAGGGAGCCTCAGAAGGAAGGCAGTAGAACTGTCGTAATCACGAATTTTCATACACGCGATTCAACTAAATCATCACTGGCAGATTATATCCGATCGGAGAAAAAAAAACAAACACAGAAACCGCCCATAGCTTTTTCAGGCTTTCTGGAAACTATTAGGAATTGGGAGGAAGAAGACGGTGCTAAAGATGACTAGTGGTAGAGAGATGGGATTGAGTCGGAGAATGATGACGAGTTATATAGGGAAGGAAGAGGAGAGATATGGTGAGGAGGAGGAGGAGGAGGAGGAGGAGCTAGGGTTTGTTTTGGAGGGTTCGTTTCTCAGGCCAGGCGCGGCGCGGCGCCTCTTTTGGTGCAGAATGCGGGTGGGTATTTTTGGGCTATCCACTGGGCTTGGAAAGCAGAGAAACCCTTTTAATAAAACACTATTTAGTATTTATGTGTATTAATTAAATTTTAAAAAAATAATTATGCCAAAGTACTAACTCAAAACATTCTTTTTTTTCAACACAACTCAAAACACTATATTTTGTTTAGATTTAATCTTTTATTTTTTTTTTTTAGAAAAACTCGCATCGATACTTTCAAATTTGGTTGATAATACTCACATATTCTCTTTTACACGTCAATACTTCGAGAACTCAAAACTCATCAAAGTTTATATCGCTACTCCAATCTAGGTCAACCACTCAACCAGCTTCAAACTTAAAGCCTTAAAATTATTTTTGCTTATATAACATCAGAAATATTTTGTTGGCAACACATATATACAATAATTAAATTAAATTGGATGTCATTTAGAGTTTCTAAATAACTTAATGAAGCAAATCTAGTTGAACCTGGTGACATCCTCTATATTTAAAAAAATATTAATCTTTATTAAGTAATTAAGAAATGTTCAAATGATGTCCAATATATTTCTATTACCTTAGCCGTGTTGAAAATTTGTTATTTCAGATTTCACATCAACCAAAATAATGTCACGTAATTAATTTAAAACTGACTTAGGGAGACTAAAGTAGTGATGTAATTGAAATTTGGTGATTACTTGAAGTATTGACATGAAATAATAACTTGAGAGTGATATTGTATAATCAAACAAATCTAGAAGCATTGGTGTGAAAAATGAAACCTTTATATAGGATGAGCATAAAAATGTAGAACATTTTTGCGAGGTAGATGAAACATTTAATTTATGTGATTTTTATACATTGTTTATTTACAAGTACTTATACAATATGAATATCTTCATCTGAAGTGTAAATTCAATAGAATCAACAAATGAAGTAAAATTTTATTGGTATGTATTTTGAAAAGACATACAATATGATAAATAAAAAAGTGGAGCAGATAAAATATAGTTTTTATTCAAAAGAGTGAACCAGAAATACATATAATTTTTATTCAATTTTTTTGTTTGTATTTCGGAAAAGACATAAAAATGACATGTGACTTTTAGAGTATAAAACATCTTTCATTGGCCAACCACAAGCTCGATCTTGTGATTAAATTAGTTGACATTGTAATATGGTATTAGAGTTTTGCTAATCAAGATGTCATGATGTTAGTCGATATGCACAACTCTAGAGGGAGGAGGGTGAATAGAGTTTCTTGAGAATGTTTAACCTTTTCACATTCTGTGTAAATAAATGAACGTGCAGCGTAAATAAATAAGAGAAGACAAAGAACACACTCATGTATATTGGTTCACTACTTCGTGGCTAGTCCAGCTCTCCGGAAGACTCCCTCGAAGCTACTACTACTTATCAAACTTAACCGGGTGTTTGACAAATCGTTTATAAACATGAGTACTTAACTCGCATAAGCCTCAACACAACCACATAGAAATGCCCTCTACAGGACTTCACACCCAAGATTTGAGTCACATAGGTTTTGTACAACAAGAAGAGTAATCTTCTTCAACCTCACAACAAGAACTTTTACAAGAGTAAAAATGAGAAAATGATTATGATGGAAACCGCTTTTTCGGGGCGTCGACCCGATGAAATCGGTACCGGGTCGGCACCGCACCGAATAGCGAAATCCGGAAATTAAAAAAATAAATAAAGCAGAGAGAAAGTATTTATACGTGGAAACCCAAATCGGGAGAAAACCACGGGCCTTTTTAGGCGGAGCCATGCCAAAGGGGGAGGAACTTTTATTAATCTCGGGGGAGTTTACATATACATCATTGTAGGAACTTGGAGTCATTAATGGAGCTCCAAACTAAAAGAAGAAGAAGAATGAAGAATATAGTAGTAGGAACTTGTATGAATCTAGCCTTGACCTCCCCCTTCCGTCCTGCGTAGCCTTGTATTTAAAGAGGAGTACATGCATGCATCCCCAACAATGCCATGAGGTGGCCATGTCACCTCCATGTGCACATGTTTTGTATATGGGCTCCACGGAATATTTTTATATCACCTCAAATATATTCTTCTGTCCATATACCTCTGGTTCTGTCTTGAATAATTTATCTGATTTATATCTTGGGCCAGATAAAATTGGGCTTTCTTGTACTGTTCAAATAATATTGGATTAGGAAAAATCCCTAATCCATCAGATTAAGTTCTATGGAAGACAATAACACTTTCTTGCAAATAAATAGTTTTCTCTCAAAATAACTTAAGTAGAGGAAAGAATTGATAGAGGATGAAGACCACAAGAATGAGGTGTTTTTAGAGTGTTTCAAGTGTCTAAAAATGACCAAGGAAGAGAGTTTTAAATGGGGTAAAGAGAATATGTTCGTTGGTCCAAGAAAATAAAAGTTGGTGCTGAAAAATACACTAAAAATTGATTTTTTAGGCTGATTTTCATACTGTTGAATTCCAAAGCCAAAATATTGATTATTTCAGAAGGGAAAATCGGGTTTTATGGCGTGGGGAACAAAGATAAGATCCCAAGAAACATTTGCATAGGATAATGGGTCAAAGGACACTATACCATTGTTCCTTATGTGAGAATGTCTTGAAAAAAGATGGGTTTTAAGTACTTACCTCATTTTTCTCTTCAAGATCAACAAGACATAAATTTGAAGAGTCGTCTTTGGAAGAATAGGATTGATCATATTTACACAAGAAATAAGCGTGTTCATATATATTGCTTTTTTCTTGAGCTTCGGGCAATCATATTTTAAATGACTGAACTTTCTGCACTTTTATCATTTTGGAATGTTTGTTTTCTTGCTCTTCTTTAGCTCATGTTTCAAAACTCGTTAAAACATTCAATCAAAATATAATAAGAATCACTATCACTCTTTGAGCTACTTTCACTATCAGAATCATCAACCTCTATTCTTTAAGAAGATGCCTTAAAAGCGATTCCCGTTCTCTTCTTTACTACGAGAGTATGGGAGAGATGACTTTCATACGTGACAAGGTTACCTTGAAGATTGTCATACGCGATGACGTTGAAATCTCAACCTTCGTATATGCCATTCGCTTTGGCTTCCCATTCCTTGGTAAGACTTCTCAGGATTTTTCTTAGCAATTTTGTGTCTATAAAAGTCTTTCCAAGCATATCAATGTCGTTGATTATATTTGAAAATCTTTGAAACATGTCCTCCAAAAGTTCTTTATCTTTTATAGTAAACAACTCATATTAATGGGTTAGTAAATGATTTTTTTTCTTCAAGAACTTGAGGCGTACATTCATAAGTAACTATGAGTTTATTCCATATTTTATTGGCGGTCCGGCACCAGGATATCCTTTGATAGTCATTAGCGTTGACGACACAATATAAAAAATTAATAGTCGTAGCATTTAGTTGAGCCTTCTTGAAGTCAGCTTCATCATATTCATCTTCATTCTTCGGGATTAAAGTATCACCTACCTTCTTCATAGACAAGCTATCTCCGTTCTTGATAACAAGCCATAACTTAAAGTCATTGATCTGAACAAAAAATCCTCATATGTTCCTTCCAATAGGAGTAACTTGTTCCATCAAAAAAATGACGGTTTTACGGTGGATTGCCCGTCTTGAATGCTCGTGTTCAACATTCTCAATAAAATTTTGATCATTTTCTCAAACGTCACAAAGAGCGTTAGAGATATCTGCTCTAATACAAATTCTTAGTCGATGTGCACAACTCTAAAGGGAGTGAATATAGTTTGTTGAGAATATTTACCATTTTTTCAGTGTTTGTGTAAATAAATGAATGTGCAGTGGAAATAAATAAGAGAAGACAAAGAACACACCGATGTGTACTGGTTCGCACCTCGTGGCTAGTCCAGTTCCCCGAAAGACTTTCTCGAAGCTACCACTACCTATCAAGTTTAACCGGGTGCTTGGCAAACTGTTTACAACCTTAGAACTTAAGTCGCATAACCCTCAACACAACCGTTCATAGATATGCCCTCTATAAGACTTCACACTCAAAACTTAAGTCACATAAGTTTTGTACAATAATAAGAATAATCTTCTTCAACCTCACCACAAAAAATCTCACAATTAAACTTTGATCACAGATCATCAAACGACATGTGGTTAACATTATTATCTTTCAACACAATCAAATTCAAGTCTTACTTTTTTTACACTATTTGTTTTTGCCAACTACACAATGTCTATGGGCTTTGAACATTAATTTGAAGGGGATGAGTAACACAGTGGGACAGTCAAGAAGTCATTTCCGTTTGTTTTCATAAAGTCAAGACGGTCCATTATCAACTTTGACCCTTCATCTTTTACCATCCTCGGGGTACACTTTGGCTACCACTCTGCCAGTAAGTAGTCTGAGCACAGGGAAATATACAACTCCTTTCGTTCAGATTTACCCACCGCTTCTACCGTTTGCACTTGCTCTTCCATTTTTGTGTATATATACATTCCATTCCACCCACTTCTCCCAAGCGTCGTCTTCCTCCCATTTCATCTTCTCACCTCTCTCATCTTCTCATCTCCAAAGCGGAAGCTGAAAATGGCCACACCTACGGCGACTATGGAGGTCGGAAACGACGGTGTTGCCGTGATCACCCTCACAAATCCCCCCGTCAACGCCTTAGCCATTCCAAGTAAGTCACCGGTTGTGTAGAGTTGCTGCGTCTCTGTGCGTATGGAGAGTTTTTGCACATACGACGGATTTGGATTGGATGGATTTGATTTAATTTTTGAGCTGTGTTGCAGTAATTAATGGCTTGAAGGATAAGTTTACGGAGGCTGCTAGGAGAGACGATGTCAAAGCCATTGTTCTGACAGGTGAATTTCCTTATCTTATTCTTCTTAGGTCTTGCTTCTGCTAGTTCACCGGAAGTCAACAGATACTGAAATGAAAATGAGTTCCTATGATCAACCGGATTGTGGTTTTGTTTTAAATTCAGAATCTGCAATCTGTGCATCTCCTTAATTCTCTATGTATGAATCCATGAATATTTGCTTTAGAAATTGAAGTTTAGTCCAAACTTTCTGAAAATCATTCTTGCTCAATTAGCACGATCAGCTCTGGTTTAGATAGACTGATAAGAGTAATAGTCTATCGTTAACTGCCACTGAGCTTTATTAATGTATAGTGATTAACAGGATTGAATTGGTAACATTTCATTCTTTATGCTCTCAGCCTGCAGATGCTGTTTTATATCTTTTTTTTTCTCATGGTTAATCACAGTTTACAAATTTTGGTTTTATTCACCTCTTGCACGGCAACCATTCCTGTACATTTTGTTTTACAGGAAGTGGTGGGAGATTCTCTGGTGGTTTTGACATCAATGTTTTCGAACAAGTTCACAAGCATGGTATTACTTTGCCCACTTATTTTGTCAATTCTATTGGCTTAGTAATGGCATCTGTTAATGTGAACTGATGAAATTTTATTGCATCAGGGGATGTATCTGTACTACCTGATGTTTCTGTTGAGCTACTTGTCAACCTGGTTGAAGGTCTGTACCTCAATTCATGCTACTCCCTTTGTCCCTTAAATATGTTCCACATTTCCCTTTGTATGTCCTAAAAAAAGATAACATATTCGTTTTTATGGGAGGAATTATGTAGTTCATATACTCGTAATTTCTTTTCTTTGCATAAAGCTCTTCCACAAAATTTCATTTTTCTTAATAAATCAGTCGTGGAACCTTATTTTTGGATAGACGGAGTGTATTTTCATAATGTCTATTTGTAAAGAGCCTATTTTGGAATTCGTGGTCTTATTTGATTATTTGAATCATCATATTTCCGATCTTAATCTTAGCTGTATCATTTTAGATGGAAAAAAACCTGCTGTTGCTGCCATACAAGGACTTGCCCTTGGAGGTGGCTTAGAATTGGCATTGGTATGTTGTTCATTCTCTAAGAAGCCTTTAATACAAGTAAAGTATCAACCGAAAAATGTGGGTAAGTGTCTTTTTGGTGCATGATTTCCTTTACCAGGGATGCCATGCTCGCATTTCTACACCAAGAGCTCAACTGGGCTTGCCCGAGCTTTCCCTTGGGGTTATCCCTGGCTTTGGAGGTATGACTGCTTGATATATGTTTTATTTTTTAGATATTCAAGATTAGTTTTATATCCTTCAAAAAAATATTGATGTTTTCCTCTCCTTTTCAAGGTACACAACGCCTTCCAAGGCTTGTGGGATTGCCTAAAGCTATTTCAATGATGCTGGTAAGTATCCTAACCAGCAGTCCAACAAAATAATTCCACATCATCTGCTAGAGTGATGAAACTATTGCCATTAATAAGAAAAAAATTTAAATTTTATTCCGCAAGTAAAGCACATACAATGACAATTTGGTATGGAAAATCGCCAATGATGCAGGGAAGGGGTGGCTGATAGAAATGTATGTGCTGCTTACAAATTTTTTTATGTTCATTAATGTGCATTTAACATTGTTGATTTGCAGACATCTAAACCCATATTGTCTGAAGAAGGGAAGAAATTAGGTCTCATTGATGCAATTGTTACCCCAGAAGAATTGATTAAAGTATCACGGCAATGGGCACTGGAAATTGCTGGAAGGAATAAACCCTGGATACGATCCCTTCACAGGACTGACAAACTATGTTCTCTTTCTGAAGCACGAGCTATTTTGAAGGATGCTAGGCAACAGGCAAAACAGACTGCCCGCAATATGCCACAACACCAGGTATGCCTTGATGTGATTGAAGAAGGCATTGTTCATGGAGGTTACAGTGGAGTTCTAAAGGTACTTCTTTTCCCTATTCTTGTTACAGTGGAGGTTACTAAACAATGTCCTAACCCAACATTTTTATTGTTGATTAATCAGACTAGTTTTTTTTCTTCAGGAGGCCAGAGATTTCAAGGAGCTTGTATTGTCAGATACTTCGAGAGGGCTTGTTCACGTGTTTTTTGCACAAAGAGCAACCTCAAAGGTAATGTAGATGTCTATGAAGTATGTACACTGAACAACTTGATAGTATAATACGTAGTAGTAAATTATACAGATCATCACCATATAGATTTTCAGTAAGATGTGCTATAGTCCATCTTTTATTGTTGTCTGTGCTAAGAATCCTAAGATGTATATATTCTGTTACCTTTTCCCTTCTATCTAGATCAAAGACATTGAATATAGTGAGTACGTAACCTGATAATTTTCATGGTGTTGTTTTAACACTTCTAGCTATTAAGAAAAGGCATTGCCAACCTTTTGTCTTTGAGTAATGGTAAATCAATTTTTGCCATAATACGCAGCATCTTTTTGCGACAATAGGCTAAAACTAGTACTTGTGTTGCATGACTTCTTTGTTGTTGAAATAGTCCAGGCATGCCTTACAAACTTTTTGTTTTTTCGGGATGTCGTAATAGGTTCCTAATGTTACTGATATTGGTCTCAAACCAAGGCTAATAAAAAAGATTGCTGTAATTGGTGGAGGTTTAATGGGCTCTGGGATAGCTACAGCTCTTATTCTGAGCAACAAGTATGTTCTTCTCAAGGAAATTAATGCCGAATATCTTCAAAAAGGGATAAAATCAATAGAAGGTACGCTGATGAAGTATTTTTTGTTATGGGGCATTGAATGCCTCGAGTATGTTGGACTACCAAGGAAATGAAAGCTTAATATCCTCAGAAATAGAAAACTATTCTTGTATCGTTAGTCTCTTATATTTTTGCTCTCGATGTGGCAGAAAATGTCCGAATTTTGGTATCAAGGAAAAAGTTATCTCAAAATCAAGCTGAAAAAGCCCTTTCATTACTTAAAGGTGTATTGGACTACTCGGAGTTTAAGGATGTTGATATGGTTATTGAGGTACAGAGTTGAATTTCTGATTGTGTTTTTGTATTGGTAAAATGGTGTTTAGGATGATTTTCATTACCCCTTTTTTTTTATCATGTTTAATATTTATTCAAGTTTTGAAATACACCCAGCGCTGTTACACATGTTGAATGAGTTACCTCTTGATTGCAGGCTGTAATTGAAAATGTTCCTCTAAAGCAAAAGATTTTCATTGATATTGAGAAGGCATGCCCTCCTAATTGTATACTGGCATCTAACACATCTACTATAGACCTTAACGTAATTGGTGAGAAGACCAGATCTCAAGATAGGGTTATAGGTGCTCATTTTTTCAGGTTCACACCTATCCTCACTCGTAGTTTGATTACAAGAAAATTTTACTTATTCAACATGCATAACCTATCTGTCTCGTGCCTTGTTTCTCTTATGTTCAGTCCTGCTCATGTTATGCCTTTGCTGGAGATAGTTCGGACAGAGAAGACTTCAGCTCAAACAATTGTTGACCTTATGGCTGTTGGTAAAGCAATAAAGAAAGTACCTGTTGTGGTGGGGAACTGTACTGGTTTTGCTGTAAACAGGACCTTCTTCCCATATGCCCAAGGAGCACATCTTCTCGTGCATCTTGGAGTTGATGCCTTCAGGATTGATGCCCAGATTACAAACTTTGGCCTTCCTATGGGCCCTTTCCAGTAATTCCCTTTCCTAGTTTCCTTTATATGCTGATTGGCTACATTTTAATTTCTTTAATCCCTCCATTGGATCTCGGACGCTATATAGGTTATACTAGCTCTGTTTTTGCAAGCAGACAGATTTGAAGCTTTGGCATACATTATTTTCTTAGCGTCTTGTTAGGAAATGCTTAATATTCCATTTTGTTTTAAAAAAGTACTCGGTAATGTTTTATTAATGTGCACCCATTTAATTTTGGTAAGGTGCAATTATTGTAAATTATTTATCTTATATTTTTATTGGCACAGTATTTTTGTTGGAAATATTTGATTAAATTAACTGAAATTTAGTTTCTTTTGTTGGAATGCGACTATTTTGGGACAAGATTTTGGAACACGACTTTTTTTTGGAACAAAGGGAGTAATTAGTGTACTTGCAAGCTTGCATGATGTCTTAAGTTATACAAAGTGCTTTTATTCACATATCTTATTTGAATGATTATCCGAAGGGTAATTATTGGTGCATTCTTTGTGTGTGGAACAAACTCATATGAAATTGCTTTTGCAGGCTTCAGGATTTAACAGGATATGGGGTAGCTGTTGCTGTAGGAAAACAATTTGATGCTGCTTTTTCTGACCGTATATTTAGGTCTCCTTTAATTGATCTCCTCATTAAAAGTGGTCGAAATGGTAATTTTTTCTTTGATTTCTCTGATTAGTTATTTAGAATTAGTGGGTTCTATTTAAAATTTCAATGCGTGTCTCTCTCATGCAGGCAAAAATAATGGGAAAGGATACTACATTTACCAGAAGGGAATGAAACCAAAACCAGATCCTTCTGTGCTTCCAGTTATAGAAGAGTCTAGAAAGCGGATGAATATTATGCCAGGAGGGAAGGTACCTCCCATCTTGTCTTTTTATTCTATCAGTCTTTTCATTTCCACACACATCAAGAGCATCATGTCTAAGTGTTTGGTATGGATTTTTGCCTCACATCATTGGTCGAAATGGTGAAGATGAAAAAACACCCCTTTGGTATTCAAAAATGACAGACTGAAAAGAAGTCTTATTTTTTTAAGTGTCCGAAAGAACAGAATGAAATGAGTAATACTTGGAACATACAATCTGGCTTTGTTTTATTGCATCAAAAGAACTGCATCAATGATGCATTCTATTTTTAGAACTTTTGTATGTAGGTTTGAATCGTGCGGTTGACTAATGATCTCAAAATTTATAGGCAATATCTGTGACCGACCAAGAAATAGTTGAGATGGTTCTCTTTCCGGTAGTGAATGAGGCATGCCGTGTTCTTCATGAAGGGATGGTTGTCCGAGCCTCGGATCTGGACGTTGCATCTGTTCTTGGAATGAGCTTCCCTTCTTACAGGTTACTATACCTTCTCTTCTTTTGAATCTCTGCTTAACAACAACAACACACCGGTACGGTCCCACAAGTGGGATCCTATGGGGGTGGTGGGTGTGTGTCGACCTTACCCTATGTTTACCAATCTTTTTTTGGCATGACAGAGGCGGAATTGTTTTCTGGGCTGATACCGTTGGAGCTGGCCATATATATAAAAGCCTCAAGAAGTGGTCAGAACTGTATGGTAACTTCTTCAAGCCCTCCCCTTTCTTGGAAGAAAGGGCACTCAAAGGCATTCCGTTGGTAAGAACAACATTTCATCATCTATTATGTATTGTACTTATAAAGTTTTTGTTACTTTTTACCCATCTAAGCCGTAAATATTTATCATCTTCAAATGCAGAGCGCTCCCGTTGCATCGACCTCTTCAGCTTCAAGAGCGCGTCTGTAGACCGTGTTTCAACCATCCACATATGATCTCCAAAATTGGGAGTGGCAAAAAAAGAACACTTAAAATCATACAGTGTTGGGGGACCTAATAAAATAATGTGTTTGTTTTGTAGCTAGAAAAGAATGGTTTATTTTTTGAGTTATTAAATGTTAAAAACTAGTTTTGAATAATGTATGAAATTCACAACAATTTCATCAATAAAGTTATGTGTAACTAATGGGCGATCACTTCTGTTATTGTCATTTAAGTCCCAACTCATCTTTATCATTGCTCCTCCTCCCCAGCCCCTCAAGCCTATGCACGCGAAAACATCTTTAAATAGTACTCCGTAGTTTTTTTTGAAAGAGTGCACCAAAATTGTGTATTTGATTTAAAATAATTGGAAATTCTAAACACTTTATGAGGTCTTACAATTATTCCCTTCAAGAATTTACTTTTTTTGGATTCCAAATACAAATGCGGAGTATTAAGTTCTAAAGTATGTTTATTGAGAAAGCAAACTATATCAATTATCAAATATTACTTTCTCTGTTTTAGTGTATTTATTCAGCTTGTCTTTTTCGAGTCAAATTAGATGATTTTTAATCATCAATTTCTTTTTAATTTGTAATGAATATTGATACAATAATTTAAATATCTAATAGTTCTCAACAAAAATCTATTGAAATAGTTTTATACTAAAATATTTTACCATTTTTATTTAATTGAAGTTCAAAATTCATCAAATTTAACTCAAAAAAAGTCAAACAATACAAATAAATTCACAGGGACGGAGGCACTATGTAGGACTTCAATGTGTTACCATCTCTTTTAAAACCAATTAGTGTTATAAAAGGTGCATACCCTAACTTTATTGTGAATTCCACAAACACAAGTATCCACGACATTAGATTGTGAAAAGGCCTACAGACACATGACCCACACATTAAACATTGTTTATTCTTGTTAACTTTTTCTATTCTTGCGCAAATTTGAGATTTTTTCCCAGAACAATAAAAAAAGAGATTAATATCTGACGGATTAAAAACTGGGGCATGAGAATGCTATAAGATTATCATACCAAATGTCTAGCACTAATTAATCATGAAAAAATAGTAAATTCTTTTATGATTTTAAGTCTATACTCATTTTATGAACTTTTACACATAAAATAGTTTTATGTGTAAATAAAGAGATCCAACTATGAATCTATGAAAAAGATGTGAGAAAGTCCACATGTAATTTTACATGTGGACTTTAGAGCACTGGAAGGAAATACTCATGAAGCCCCGAGACTTCAAAATTTATCTCTCTGTCATGTTAGCTTTAACTTACCTCCCAGCTAGAAATGAGTTTGAAGCCCCGGGGTTTCAAACCTTTATTTGTTACATTTGTAATACACTTTGAATAATTAAATTTATAAGGTTTTATTGAATAATTAAATTTAAATGACAATAATTTATTTAGTAAAAAAATACATTAAAAAATTACATCTTTTTGAAGGAAAAAAACACATTAATCAAATAAGATTTGAATAATAACAACATAAATAAAAATTAAAAATGTCATTACATTACGAAGAATGAGAACTATTCTTTCATCGTCAAATAAAGATGATCTCATTTTTTTGGAGTATTTTGTAGAGAGAGTTAAACAAATAGAATATATTTTAGAAGAACTATACTGGAAATTCAAATATATTTTTTGTATATTTTTTTTTAAAAAAAATAGGTTATATTTAAAAAATTTATTTTTTACAAAAATTACCCAATGGTTTTGATTTGGACGGTTGGGGGAGGGGGGTGATAGGCCAAATTTGCAGCCTTGTTGCGTTAAGCGTTTGATGCAAAACATTTAACGCCTAGATGACGGTGGAGGGGGGCGGTGTTTAACACCCCCACACGTTAAAACCATGTTAACGCCCATGGGAATGATGAGCATTTCCACTTCTTAGAATCACAATAGCACAACTCGAAAAAAATACATACTCGGATACATATATTCATAAAGCTGATAAAAAAAAGAAGATAAAGCTGAAATGAAAGGCATGATGTCAAACTAATCTTATGTAAGAAGATTAGAGGACTTAGTTTGCACTTGTAAGAGGCACCACTCTGGTCAATTACCAAATCAAACAAAAAAAATGCCAATTATAATTCATCTAGATGTAAAACTTTTGTTGAAATCGATAACGGTTAATGGAGAATGTATAGATCCTCTTTCTGTTGAAGTTGTTACTGGTGTGGTTAGTTCCCTACCGCTGAAAAGGAGGACAAAAATGACCAAAGAAATGCTTTGCATTGTTTATTAGTCTCTACAATTTTTAAGTTGCAACTATGCAAAGAGAAGAAGAAGAAGAAGAAAAAATCAACTATGCATCTATCTACTCGTCTGTTTTCTCCGGGAGATTGACCTTTTGGTCTTGCACTACTAAAACGGGACTAGCAGTTGCAGAAGCAGCGACATCTTGAGATGTTCTTGAGGGAGATGGAACAGCAGGCTTACCATTACTGTAGAGCTCCTTTTGGTTTCGTGCCATTGAAGAGCAACGTGATTCTACCATGAACAAAGGTGAAATAAATGAAGTGAAAAAAGAAGGGGATTAATTTATGACCAAGAAAGCATGCAAAATATGGTGTGTAAAGCCCATTTGGCAAGTATAGTGCTGAATGTGTTGTTGGCTTTTCTGAAAGGAAAAGTGTTCCGTAAAAAAACCATAGGAAAATAAGAAATATAAACTTACCTTTTATTTTCCCCAATGTAATGAGCCTGTTAAGGCAATCGCGGAATTTTGTCAAAACAATGTTTTCCTGCTGTGCATAGGCTTCCGTCATGTTTTGTCCATGATGCAGCAGGGACGGTACCGTTTCTTGTTCATCACACATTAGTGCCAGTGTTCCTGGAGACATTGGCCTTCCTTCTGAGACATCATCTTCACTTCTCTTTTCGACATGGTTCTCGGTAGGACAACAATCAGGTAAAGCCTTTACTGGAGAACCTTGAGAATTCTCTATCGTATCTTGAGCTGAGGAAGCCAGTGCTTCTCTATGCTCTTCTGCTTGCTTCCCTCTTGCATCCTTTTCATCTGTAGGCAAATTAAAAAATGTAGCTAGGAGAAAACCACACACTCTGTATATGAAATGAAAATATCAAAATTTGTCTCTTTTTTTTTCTCCCGGGAAAAGGAAGAATATAATTACCCATTTAAGAGTGTGCAGGGGGAAGCGCGTGATGGTTGATCAAGATGAGAGAGTCAAGATGAATGTAACACTTATGATAATTTGTAAGGAAAAAGAAAAGAGAGAATGTGTCTACCTGCAAACATCTTAGCAGTTTCTCTTGAACAGGAGACCAAGAATGAACAAACTTCCTTCACATCCTGTGGTTGGATAATGTCTGCCAACAGGGACCTTCAGCAGTATGGAGCAATTGAAACAGTTAGTTATGTGTGTGGATTACCACTTTTGGAATCTCTAAAGTGCTTTTGGAGTTCTAAAAGAGCTTTGGATTTTTCAAAAGCTGTCCATTCAAATTTCTTCTGTGGTTGAGCTAGAACTTCCCCAAAGTTTCTAAAAGTCAATTTGTCCCAAACTGACTTCCACAAACTTTTGGGCATTATTTATGGACTGTAAAAAATTAACAAGCAAAAGTTGAAATGACAAAGTAACTTTTAGAAATCCAAACACATAGTCTACTGAAATGGTTCAAAAGATTTTGGTGCAATTTTACAAACTCTTGGATATTATTTCTGGACTGTAAAAAATTAACAAGCAAAAGTTGAAATGCCAAAAGTCACTTTTAAAAATCCAAACACATACTTAGTCTACTGAAATGGTGCAAAAGATTTTTGTTGTACCTGTAAGTAAATTTTGAAGGGCCTAGTGCTGCTGCATTACTACTAATTTGGGCACCGGGAATTGAAGGCATCGGAGCCCGTTGAACAGAAGCTTGAATTTGGTTGCTCTGTAAAATGCCAAATAATAAAAATGCTTACTGGGAAACAGGAAACAATGATAAACTCACGATTCTATACAACACCGAATAATGGCCGAATGTACATTTAGCATTTAATCAAACAGAAAAATTGAAAAGCCATTACCCACCTGGGGGAACTGCCCTAATGCATCAACAGGAATTTTCACTGTTTGTCCATTAAATATGTCCTGGACTTTTCTTCTCTTAGTCACAGGAAGAGATCCAAAACCAGAGGTTCCAATGGCACCAGTAATTACAGCATTTGCGGCCTGCTGAAGATATGCCAAGGTGTTGGGATTATCTCCGCGGAAGAGTGCCTTCCTCTCTTCACTTCCTTCCAGATTTTTGCAGTGCATACATTTACAGTTTTCTGAACAAAGAATATTGGCTTGGAAGCATTCACAATACTTTTTAAGGCACCCAGATTTCTTGCAGCGGCATCCTTTATTATGCTTTACCAAGACTAAACCATCCCCAGCTTCCTCCTAAAAAATTTACACCACAAAGCATAAGAAAAAAAACTACTGTGTTTCACAAAGTAATTAAATTTTACAACTCAAGTACCACTTAATTTCAGTTGGCCGTACCTTAATGTCCCGAACAGCGTTAGGGCTGCCTGCAATTTTAGGCCTGAATGCCTTTAAATTACGATCCAAAGTAGCTCCAACTGCTTGTCGTCTTGCAGCTTCATTTCCAACATTGTTGTGACAGTTTTCACAGTTACACCCATCACAATATATACCAGATGCAAAGCATTCACAATACCTGACTCAAATAAATGTCTATCAGAGCATAGACTATACAGTTAATAAAAGATAGAAGAAGATGATTTGAAGAAAAAAAACAGATTCCACTGATCAACTGTTATCCAAATGAGAATACAAAGTCAGTCCACAGTGAACATTCTTGATAGAAAATATAATTGCAGAGTTGAGCTCAGTAAGGCAACAACAACAACAAACTCATTTAAATCCCAACTCCCTTGGAGACTAGATATTCGTAACCTCACCCCTATAAAAATGGAGAAGTTATTTCTATTAGACCCTTACTACATTTTGTGCCCAAATCTTCATAGAAAGTAGGAATCTAAGGAGGTTTAATTTGCAATATTGATTTAGTCCATATTTACACGAAGCTAAAATATTGTAAAAAATGACTCCTTTAGCTCTATTGGCAATGGACATGTATGAGCTTAGTAAAGCATTCAAGCAATATCTAATCTAAATATATTTAAACCTAAAAGACAATAAGGTTTTGTTGCACGCCTGGACCAAGGCTTGCTCTTTGTGGCAACAAAAAAATAAAAAACTTATTGATATCAAAAGAAGACATATTGTTCCCCATCTAATTAATTCTTTGTGGCAACCTAAAGGTGCATGTCTACACTTGCCAGCAAAACAACATAAATGATATCAAAAGAAGACGTATTGTTCCCCATCTAATTAATTCTTTTCTTTTTATAGATACATATTGGTAAATAGTCTAATAGAGATGTCTGCAATGAGAATAATGAGAGTTACGGAGTACCTTAATAAAGAAACAAATGAAGGTTTAGTAAACAATCAATTACAGTTTATCTGTGTTTTATGCAAGTCATTCTCCCTATATGTCTTACATACAAATTCCTCACATAAACAACACCTCAAACAGATAAAGGAATTGGCATATACTCCCTCCGTCCCTGAGTGTTTGTCCACTTTCATTTTTGCACACTATCCAATGCACTTCTTTAATACATTTTATCTTGTAATTTGTATATTAAAAAATTATAAAAATTATATATTAATAATCTATATGTTAAGACGAATCAAACAAGATCACACATGACTATTTTTAGGCTTACACATTGAGAGATTTTGATGAGTCAAAGTGCTTAGATGAACAGTTCCAAAAGTCAAAAGTGGACAAACACTCAGGACGGACCAAGTACTTTCTATACCCTATTTCAATTAGATTTATGAATAGTCTTTATACATCAATACCTTTGATGTCGAATTTGTCAAGTAAATTAGCAGAAAAAACTTACAATTTCAAACATCGAGAGTGTTTGCAGTTACATTGCTTTTGCTTCTTTGGAGTGCCATCTTTTGTGTTGTTAGTACTTTGCCTAGGCCTAACTCGTGTGGGTTCTGGTTTCCTGGAAGGTAAAAAAAGGTATTACAATAGGCATAGTGTACATAATGTGAATTCAAATGATAATATATGGAGTAAAAGAATGCATAGTAACTCAAAAAATGGATCCAGAACTGTCACTCATAGAATGTCAACCTGCAAATGTTTCATGAATGATTACCCAAGTTTTCCTCAATGCAAGGGAGTTTCATTGGGGATGAAATAGAACTAGAAAGGAAGTATCAAATAGAGGAATAGATATAGACCTCCTAAACTTCTCTGAAAGTAGAGTCTCATTTATACAAAGGACCTTACTGTTTTACCATGTTAATTGCTGCTAAAAGATGGTCATTTCTTTTTTTGAGGTTAAGCATTTCATAAAGCTGATATTGTGGAACAATAAACTTAAGATTGGGAAAACGAAAAAAACTCCAAAACAGTCAAAGGTAATACTCCCTCCGTCCCCTTTTCTACCACCTCACTTTCTTTTTGTGGGTTGCTCAAAACTAATCTTTTCCTTTCCTTTTAAGGAAACAAAATCCGCGATCCATATTAATTCTTTCATTTCTAAATAAATCTGAAATACACAATATCAAATATTGTAAAAGCATCTGAACATATTTACGAATTCAAATCTGTTTTGGTGATCAAATTACAACCCCATTATCCTGTCCTCCAGAACCAGAAGTAAAAGACTGAAAAAATAGGTGTTTCGGCATACTAATGAGTAGATGATACTACGGCATCCATTCAACCAAAACAAAATTTAATCAAGGAAAGAACCATCTGTATTTGATTAGCAGAAGTCACAAAAAGCAAAATGTCTTATTTGTGAAAAACAGCAGTAGAGTATGCCTAAGCCCCAAGGCTCAACAAAATAGATCATCCCAACATTGAATTACAAAGACTTACAGAGCAAATGGAGTGAAAGGTTGCTTCTGCATCGGCTGCACTGATAACAAATGTTGCAGTGACTGTAAATGCGACGGCAGTTGTGACAGAAGAGGCGGCAGCGCAGGAGGCACAACCTGCTGAGGCTGCTCTGGGAAAACTGCCTCCGACCCATTCCTACTTCCCCCGCCATCCCCTCCGCCAGAAGGCGCGAAATCCAGCTGCCTCGCGAGCTTCTTCCCCTGGGAATCCACTTCCGCCGGCAGCTTTTCCGCAGCCGCCGTCAAAGGCTCCTCCAATTGAACCTTAACCGGAGACAAATCTCCTCTCTCGCTTTTCTCCATTCAAAACCACAGCGGAAAGAATAGCAATAAACTAAACAAACAAAATGAAATTCAACCAGCAGAATTCACCAGATCCTCAAGAAAACTCAAATTCCAAACCGAAATCCCTAAATCGGGTTTCAAAATCCCCGTCATCACACATCCCAGATTCAATCTTTCAAAGCGATAAACCCCACCACCGTACGCTAGCTCCAGAATCTCAAGAATTTACACTTCACCGGAAATCAAGAAAACTCGATCCCTACACACACACACATACACACATATATACACATCCGTATATATGCGCGTGTGCATATATACATACACACATACAAAAACACAGAGAGAAAGAAAAGAGAGAAGAGAAGAGAAGAAGCTGAAATTTGGTTGCCCAGTCAGTCTCCTTCGAATCCTCTCCCTCTCTTACTTTTGAATTTCAATTTTATACTCTTTCGAAATTTGGGGGTGTGATTGGAAATGGTATTCTGATCGGACGGCCACTATGAATTCGAGGGCTGATCTGACGGATGACGTCGCGAGTTCTTTCAAGAATTGCATTTTGACCGATTTTTGTCATTAAAGCGGAGTATTTTTATTTTTTATTTTAATTTCCTATGGATTTTCAAAAAGAGATGTGGTTTATGGCGGGTGTTTTATTCTTGAGGATAAGATATAGTACTCCCTATGTCCTAAAATTAACTTCTTATTTGACTTTTCACGGTCTCTAATGCGACACTTTGACCATCAATATCTCAATTTTTATATAAATATATTTTATAAAAATTATATATTTCAAAACTATATTCCAAAATGAAGCTATTGCTAATAATTTATATGCAATTTCAATGTATTTTTTTCTTAATCTACGGTGAAAGTTTAAAAAGTTTGACTGCAAAAATAAAACTAGGAAATTAATTTTAGGACGGAGGGAGTATTGCATTGTGGAAGTTGGATTCTATTTTCAAAAATGTTAGGGGTACACCATTTGGGGTACCCCATTTGTACCCCCCTCCATCTCCACCACACAAAGCAAGAGAGAGAAACAAAATTAAAAATAAAAAAAATAAATGAAGGGCTAGGATGCATGGTGTACAAAATGGGGTACCCCAAATGGGGTACCCCTAGCATTCCTCTTCTATTTTTGTTGTGAAGACTCTTTATCTACCTAATTAAAATATCTTGTAGAATTTATATCAAAATAAAATTTATAATGATTCTTTCCTACTAAAATATGATTGTTGATACTAAAAAATTTTTACAATGATTCTTTTAATTGACATTAATAATCACAGGGAATATTTGATCGTAAAAATATTGAATATCCTTTTATAATAAGTAGATCACGTTTTAATCTTAATAAGATGTTTCTCCTTTAGAAAAAAGGAAAAGAATTCAAAAAAGAAAATTAGTTGAACCAAATAATTATTTTTTTGGCATTTTATGTGTATACTGCATTTGTTTCAACTCTTTATTTCTTTATTTTTTGTATGTTGCACTAGCTTTGTCTCATACAATATTTAGTACTCCAATATTTGATCATAGTCTTACATATCATTAACCAAATATATCTTGCTAATCCACTAAAAACAAATGGTGGAAAAAAGTTCAATAACAAAATCAAACTCCATCCTTTTCTTACCAGACATGATATTTCCCATTTCACAAAATGTCATGCCCCCAAAACACAAATTTGATAAGTGTCAAGGCTCCCACAAATGCTTGGGACTTGAAACAAGCTTATCCCCATCAATCCTTCATAACTCTCATTTATGAGTCATGTCTTTTTCAAACTCTAGTTTATCTCATTAACCACAAAGAACCCTTACACCAAAAAAAACTTCAAAAAAAAAAAAATACAATCAAAACATTAAAAATAGATGATTGGAACTTATTTATTCAAAAGAATGTTTTTAATCTTACATTTTTTTTAAATGTACTAAAAACTTTATTCTAAAACGGACAAAAAAGGCAAGAATAAACCTAGGAGTAGTAAATATAATGAAAATTATAATTTTAATTAGTCTATGTTTGCATTTAGTGTCACGCATTGCCCTAAACAATGAGTAATATCAACAATATTCAAGTAACCAACAATGATAAGAGTGAAATTGCCCTAAAACACAAAAATCACTCTATATAAGAATTTCAATTTGATCAATGGGGCTTCTTTAAAAATAAAATATAAAAAAAAAAATCATATAAATGTGGATAAGCCGGCAAGGGAAGTATTTCAGGGACATAGTTAAGACCAATTCGCATCGTCAACAAAAGTCAAGTAAGGTTTCTTCTTTCGTAACAACACAAATCAAAAACCCAGAGCTCAATACGCGTCACGCCCCACGCGCCGATCATCTCGCCCTCTGTCCACAAACATAGGGCGGCGGTAGTCCTTCTGCGGTGGTGGGGCCCTGTCCCTCATCATCAGCGGACTGCGGCTCCTCTCTCTGATTTCACGAGACTGCCAGTGACCGCTGCCGCCGCGGGGCGGCAGGGGAGGTGGTGGTGGAGATGGCAGTCGCCTTTCGTAGACTCTCCTCTCACCCAAATACGACTCCCTCCCCCGGTCTCTGTGGGTCCCCCAGTCAAGCGGCAGCGGCCTGTCAAACCTACTGCCCCTGCTGTCCCGGTAATCATCTTGTGGGAAATCCAGCCTGTCTCTGCTACGCAATGGAGGATTATTATGGTCATGGAACCTGCTGCTTTCATACCTAGGGGGAGGAGGAGGAAGAATCCCAGCCCTAATGTCTCTAGAATCATCCCCCCTCTCCCAGCCTCGCGGAGGGGATCTATAACCACCACCATTCATGAGCCTTCCAGGGGAACGATCCGCTAAGGGGACATGAAGGGGCCGAGAGATGGGTGGGAGAGGAGGAGGAGGAGGGTGACCTCTCCTAGGACTCCCAGCAGATGCATAACGTGGTCTCTTGCAGTTGTTACAGTACTCTCGCCGAGCAAAGTTCAAATTGTCACACCTATACAGATATATCAAAGCACACGGTATGAAAGAACTATTCGAAAGAAGAACTGGAAATAGACAAGGTGGGGAGGATTTGAACTTTACACGCCTGCATGAATTACAGATGGTTTACTGAGCAAGTAAACACAAGAAACCAGACTATCAGATGGTTTACATGTGCTGTTTCTGGATTCCAGAAAACAAAAGTGAAAAGGGAATTAATGTCATGGAAAGTTACTTTCCTATGTGTGGGTTTACCTCCCAAAAGGCAAAGAGAAATGAACTATGAAAATGATTTAAGACTATTACATGTGGTCTCTATATAAAGTTGAAAACCAAACATACCACGCATGTCCCACCCGAAACTAGGATCTATGGGTAAGATGTATGCAAATCTTACCTCTGCCACCAGGAAGCATTTCTAATTCCTTATATGATAGATCATAGAAGAAAATAGATAATAAAAAAATTGAGTTTGAATTAAATAAAAAATGAATTTCATTGATTTTGAACCAACATTTTATTTTCCCATGCTCTTTCATTCCTTCCAATTCCCCCCACATTTATCTATATTTTCTACCCATAGCATTTCACGAACACTGACCCTACACAGTTATGCATAGATTTAAAATGACCAACATCACAAGTAAATGCAAAGAACCAAAAGGAAACTTACAAAGGATCAGAGCATATCCAGTCGCCTTCTCTTGGACGTACATTTGGATTATTTCTAGGCACAACTTCTCCTCTAAGTGACCCCGGAACATTACTGTGCCGATCATAGCCTCGAACATGGAATCTGCCACTTTCCCTTCCACGACTATAGGGGGGCGAGTAGTCTTTATATCTACTACTAGTATCTCTCCCGCTGCCAAATCCACAGCTATGTGATAGACCCTTTGAATGGTCAAAATCCAGACTGTACCTGTGATCCGCATTTCTACGGCGTACGGGAGAAACAGAACTTGTGTGCATTCTATATCCTGAAAAAGACCGGGGAAGCTCAGAACATAAGAGAGCATATCATGCTACTGTAACAGATCCAAATCATATTTTCCTACTTAAGCTAAACCTTGCAACCCATTCAGATCTTCTTGTCAAGAAGAACAGTAATGTTGCGACAACATTGGCCACAGTGGAATACTGCCCTGAAATTACCTCTGGAATGGCTTGTCATGGATATCAATAACAGCACCTTACCAAAGAGTAGTTATATCCACCCATCAAATCCAACAGTTCGTGATCCTCAAGATACAACCGAAACAGTTACTTAGTTCAAAACCCGATACCATCGACCCAAAATCATAAAAAAATTGATACTTGTCTCTCCCAAACCACACCACTGTAAACCCAAGTCTGTTTTATCAAAGACAACGCTGCTTACGGAGACTATTACTGGCTCAAATGTGATCACCATCCCAGTTTCCAGCTACACTAGTGTACAGAAAAAATTCGTAAATCACAATTCTAATTCCACTAAAATTATTTTTAACATTTGGTTTCAGTAAAAGTGGTAAGATTAAATAGGAAAAGACGGTCAAGCATGACTGTAAAACTACATGAAACAAATAGTTTTAACCAATTCTCATTTGAGCAATAATCAACTTAAATTTTTTATGTACTACTGAAACGAGGACAAAAAATGAAAACCTTGTGCCTCATCCAGCAAATACAAGAGAAAACAAAAGCTCATATCAAAATGTTTTGCTTAAAAATATTTCCTGGATGATACAAACTAATGGAAACTTGCTTGAGTAAGCTGGCAAGAACAATTAACCCTCCCAAGTTAACCATCTGAAATTACGAAACTAAAAGTCACCCACAACATTGGATGTCAATTGCCCAATCCACAGCATCACAGACCAAATATGTGTCTTCATTCACATTCAGCTTAATACCATCGGAAGTCTGGAACCACCCACCAGATGTTATAAATTTATATGATTATATCCCTCATCAGAAATGTATGGACTGGTGATAGTCATTACTATTAGTAGTACCCCCAACATAAGCATTAGCAAAAAACAATGTGAATGGTAGTGCCCAACATCTTCCCAAACCACCTTATGTGAAAATCTCAAATTCTAGATGATAATTTCATGAGATTGAATACATGGCTGACCATAAATAAAGATCTCATTAAATGTCCCTGACTCACATGCACCCAAGTTCTTCCGGATCATTTTCCACATGCACCTTTACCATTCAAACCCCCCTTAGAACCAATATTTCATATCACATCCATCACCAGCACCCAGAAGAGTGTGCCACTTCCTTTAAGAGCCAAGTAGTTGTTCCAGGCATCATAAACTGTTGGTTGAGTAAGTTGTTTAAGGTTATATTCCATATGCATGCATATTTTATAACACAATACTCCTAAAAACATTCAGACCAAATCCATCACCAGTAACCATACCAAAGTGCGTTCATCAAGATTCAAGTTCTGTCACCAGGCAACTATTCAAAGCTGTAAACACAATAGCAAAATTTGTTCAAATTTGAACAGTCCATATGTGACTCTTAAACAGCAACATGGTGCATGAAATGCACTAGCTGTTACTGGCACACTGACAAATGCAGGGAAAAGGTATTCGTGGATTAAATGACCCAACCGCATAATGAAATGCTATAGTTTCCCCCCAACAATAATAACTTCTCTAGAGATTTATACGGAGTAGTTTCTACAAGCACCTTACTGAAAAGGTTTATGAAAAAAGTAACAACTCTAACAAGGTAATCTACTACATCTTTAAATTTAAAAGACATTTTCAACACAGAGACCAAACTCCAATGCTGGAAAAACCTTCTCATCCATGCATTTACTTTTTCTGAAGATGAATACGAAAGGAACACACTTTATGACCATCCTTAAAAATCAAAAGAATGCGATTCAAGAAATATTTAGTGGGCAGAAAAAGATGCTTTCTCTGGAAAGCAGGCAAATGGAAAAAGAGCATAAGTTCTGAACTGGGTGACCTCTTCAACAGATACAGAGCAAATAAAGCATATATTTCAGTAATATGCAATAGCCGAAATCCAGACCAAAAGACCTATGCTTCTAAATTGATTATGGGATAATCATATCAACGAATGGTCGAAAAAAATTGAACTTAACAACGAACCATGGCTATCAAGAAAACGATCGGAGCGAGCGTAAGCAGGTTGACCGCTACGAACCTCACCTGGTTCGTAGTCGTTAGCTCCGCCGCCGCCGCCGCCGCCGCCGGAAGCATTTACTCCCCCACCGCCTCCACCGCTTTCGGTGGGTCGCACTACCAGGCTACTGAGATGTGGCGTGGTGTGGTCCTTCTCTCTCGACCCCATCTCTTCGTTGCGGCAACAATTGTATTCTCAGCCTGATTTGCCTCGACTAGTAGAAGTGTAGACCAATGTAAGGGCAAAACCCTAGCTAAGATCGTGTCCGGGACTGCGGGACTAACGGAAATACGGGCGCCAAAGGTGACTCTACACGTATTGGTTTAATTTTTGGAAATTCTATTGTACCCTACTTTGTACACTAAGGTCATATTTTTTTAGTTGATCTAAATAGTTTTTGATCAAATTGAAATAAATTTTGATTTAATCTGATCTGGTTCGATTTGATTCTGATATAAATAAGTTGAAGAGAATCTGATGGCCTAATACTATGCCCTAATAGAAATGCAAGTGTAACAGTGGCATGATGCTAATAAGCAATTTGCATATCATACCCAACATTATTAATCAAAACATAAACTAAATTTGAAAAAGAAAACACTCATGTTGTACATTTCCCTCTAAGATTACAAAAGGCTTCCAAAACATCACAACGCGCTTAGTAACTCATAAACGTCAGCAATTTAAATATCACAACATGCTTTGTAACCCATAAACGTGAACATAAACATATCACAACAAGCTCAAGTTTCACCCAAGAACATTAAATGTCATAGCAATATCATAACATGCTTAATTTCAATTCATACAAAGAAATTAAAGATCAAAACAAGCTCACATTAAAATTAAAACAAAACCAAGTATACATCGCATCATGCAGTATATACAAAAGGAGTAGACGGTGATTACTTTGCTTGAGAGGACTTTCCTATCATAAGAAATTATATGCTATTATGGAGGCCGTTCACAAATGGCGAAAATATTTGTTGGGCCGAGAGTTTGTCATCTGTACCGATCAGAAAAGCCTCAAGGAACTTTTGTTCAAGTGTTTCAAACTCTGAACCAACAATTTTACATATGCAAACATGTGGAATCCAAGTTTTGGATGGTGGGGTAGTAATTAGGGAGGGTTATGTGGGGTATTTGGGTAGTAAATAGCTATAATAAGTAAGAATAAAGAAGTCATTTTGATTATTTTAGCTTTTCGTTTTAAGAAATGAGAAGAAAGATAAAGGACATTTCAAAAAGAAAAATGAGAAGAAAGATACCCCAGAGTATAAGTTAGAGAAAGTACATTACTTTCAGAAGAAAAAAGACATGTTTTGCTTTGGGTAAAGTTTGATACAATCACTTTTGACACAAAAGAAAAGTTTCACAAAAATTGCTTGTTTATTAATTGCTCACTAATATCTTAGATACGAAAGTCGACTCTAAACCTCTCCTATGATATCAAAAGTTGTTTGAAATTTAATCTAAAGAGTTTGAACAAAAATTCAAGATGAAACCTTTTTAATATATGAATGTGTGTACCAGTCATCGATAATAGATAAACTAAAAACAGAGTTAAAGATAATGGCTATGTTTGTAAAGCTAAGCAATTAGCTTAATTGAATCCAATAAATTGATATGAGTTTTATAATAAATATTTTCAATCTTGTTTGCTAAACATTATGGGTCTGTTTGGTTGGAGGGAAAGGAATTTGAATCCCTCCCTTTGTTTGGTTTAAAAGCATGGAGGGGAAGGAATCTAAAATTTTAGCTTCAATTTCCTCCCCTACCTTCCAAATCGGACAGAATCTTCTTTCCTCTTGTTATTCTCTTCTTCTTATGTCATTTTCTCCTTATAAATAAAAAATAATATAAAATAAAATTAAAATAAATAAATATATAGTAGTAATAATTAATAAGTAATGCCAAAAAAAACTAAATAAATAATAAGAAAATAAAATAAATCATTATAGTAGAACAAAATAATTTATAATAACAAAAATGTATATTAATAAAATAAATAATTAATAAATAAAAATAAAATTACATATAAAAATATTTAAAATTAAAATGAAAACTAAAAATAATAATAAACTAAAATAAAAACCCATAATAAAAATAATAAAAAAATTATAGAAGAAAAGGTAATAATTAATAATAGTAAATAATAATAATAATATGTGTGTGTGTGTGTGTATAAAAGTAAATTTAAAAAGAATAAATTAAATAAGAAATTAAAAATTAAAATGTAGGATAAACAATAAAAATAATAATAAAAATAAAATAATAAAAAAATAAAATGAAAGAATTATTAAATAAAAAAGATTGATAATAATTTTAAATAGTTAACAAAATAAGTTTAAAAAATGAAAAATATATATAAAATATTGAAAATAAAACATTTCCTTCCTCTCCCAACCAAGCAAGGTGAAGGGAATCCTTCACCTTTCCTTCCCATCCATTCCTTCCCCTCCGCTCTAACCAAACATACTCTATAAGTGAGGTGTATTAGTTTAATCACCTGAAATGGTGAAATACTTTAAGTAAAATAGAATGATTTAAAAACAATCATAATCAGTCTCTCGTTCAATAAAAAAATAATTCTCTGATATTTTCAAATATAAGTTACCTTTTCAGGTCATTTTTACATGATGAACTTATGATACATTAACAATTATATTCTTTAATATTCTTAATTAAGAGCATAAGGTCATATATTATTATTATTATTATTATTATTATTATTACTATTATTATTATTATTATTATTATTATTATTATTATTATTATAGACAATACATGTTAAATTTGGAAAAGAATTATAATACGTATAACATCTTGAGCAATTAAGCTTTTAATTTTAATAGATTGACTGCTCATGATGTTATAATAGCTACTATAAGTACATTTATACTACATATTGTCCTCGGGGACGATTACTTTGATTAATTAAGGAGTACTCCATATCTGTTTTTTGGTCACCGGAAAACGCCACCAATGGTGGCTGCAGCCCAGTAATCCTCACCGTTGTCGTCCACGCCCACGTGTAACATTGAAGATATTGGAACAAGGCACAACCCTTTGCTCTTCAGGTCTTTCTTTGATTCTTCACTCGACAATACCTTCATGATCATTTGAAAAATATCTTATAATATGAGTATATATCATTAAATTACAAGTTAGTCATATCTTCTTTGATCTTTAATAATCTTTTGTGAGTTAGGGTAAATATTGAACTCAATACAAATGATCGACATATTACATGTACTCTATAACTATATGAAATACTTTCTACAACCATATATAATTAACTATGTTACTTGAACAAATGATTAACGAAAATATGTAGTAAAAGAAGAAAAAATTTGATCAATGACTAGTGTAAGAGTACGACAAATTTGGGACGGAAGGAGTATTTGAAATTTGCATACAAGATATTAGTGTATTGATTGATGATCATATATATCATATGAATTGTTAAATTGATTAATAGTGTTACCATAGATTGTTGGTGGCTTTCAGGTGTTGCAGTGGCCAAGTAAGGCAAGCTAAGGGCCTGCCCAAGTAAGTGAAATATAAGAAAGGGCGATAAGGAAAGGAGCTTTAAGCATTTATGAATGAATGAGCCAATTCCATGAAAGTTTCTTTAGAGTAAAAAGTGAATTTTATATACACACATATACATGTTCTCTTTAGCATTAACTTTACAGTTTACACTATGTTAGGTTCAAACAATTTGGAAGAAAAAGAAAATAATACAGTTTGATAAATTTGATTTTTTCTTCACCAAAATATAATAAATTTGATTTTTTCTTTTTCTTCCAATTTTCTTTACATCTCTAACCAACCAGACAAGAAAAAACATTTTTCTTTTCATTTTCTTTGAACCAAATACAGTGCCAGTGTTTGTGCTCCTTCAATTTTTATAAATGTTATGATACGATACAATAGTTTTAATAGTAAAACTTTGTAAATTAATATGCACAAATAAAAAATATATAAAACGCTAACGCTAATAATTAGAAATGTGGTTTTTATACGAGAAGATGTGAATGAAGCATGTTTTAATAATACCTCAATCTGGCTTTGAAGAAACCTAACGTATCCAATAGTTTCTAACAACACTGAAGCTGTGTCAGTCTGCAAAATCAGAAACCATGTTTGTGTATTGTTAGACCATCTCCATTCACTAACATCAAACTCAAATTTTGAACTGGTTACCTATTATTGTTTTTTTTTGAAAACATATTATGGAGAATATATTTTAACATAGCACATTTTTTGTTGGTAATTAAAATATTGGAATCAACCTAAACAAATTGAGAATAGTCTTTAAAAAAGGTTCTGGTTTGGTCACCATAAATTATGTTCTGTTCAACTTACTTTTAAGCGTTTTACTTATTCTTATTAAGATCATATCAGATCAGGTTATAAATAGCTTTAAATATAATTACAATCAAATCAAGTTAGATTTTCAAAAAATTAAATCATATTAGATCAGGCAAACAAATCGCAGTCTTAGTTCCCCAATTAGTTCATTATTATTAGAGTATTTCCTATCTTTCATTAACACTACTAGTATCACACACGTGCGTTGCACGGGTCATTTTTATGTTTTTAAATTCAAATCATTTTTCAATGATAAGAACTGAAATGCAATAGAATATAGAGATTATATCATTTCAAAGTACAGAACATCAATGTTTTACAAATTTCGAAAGACTTCTTTATATACTACATTATGTGTAGTATTTGTGGGAGTATCGTCTTCATTGCATATCAGAATCTTCAATCCACTACGATTAGTTACTCTTGAAATTAAATCATATTAGATCAGGCAAACAAAACGCAGTCTTAGTTCCCCAATTAGTCCATTATTATTAGAGTATTTCCTATCTTTCATTAACACTATGTTTGATTCAAGAAATTTGGAAGGAAAAGAAATAAAATGATTTTCTCTCAGTTTCCTCACCAAAATGGGAGGAATTTGGTTCTCCCTTCTCTATATACATTTTTCCTTTTTATTTTATTTTTCTTCTACTTTTCTTTTTTTTCCTCTAACCAAATGAGAAAAATGTGTTTCTCCTCATTTGCTTTTCTTTTCCCTCTCAAATTCCTTGAACCAAACATAATGTAAGTGTTTGTGTTTCATCCTAAAAGGCCTACATTTAATTAGTTATTCATTTTCTTCCTTTTGTTTTTTCATTACCTCTCATATTAAATAAAAAGAATTATTACGAATTGTTAAAATATCTCATAGATGGATTATGAGCATGATTGATATAAGTGAGTGATACA